AAAAATTAAAATTTATTTTATATTTTAGTTTAATTTATATAAATTTTTAGTTGTAAGTTCATTAATTAAGTTTATTTATTGAGTTCAATTTAATTATTATTAGATATTTTATTTATTGGGTTATAAACACAATCCCTTATTCTAGTTAGAGTTTTAATATTTATATTTATTTTTTTAAAATGTTATAGAATTTTGATGGTTAATTAAAAATATTGCAGAGTTGTATATTTTCATTCCTTATTTTTTCTTTTTTTTTTTCTTTTAATTTTTAGTTTTTTTTTTAATTTATTTTTTTCTGTTTTAATTGTTTTTTGTTCTGCATCAAATTTAATATCAAAACCTTAAGTTTTAATTATTTTAATTATTCAATGTATTAGAGCTTGTGAAATTTATAATTTGATCTGCTAAAAAAAATTGTTCATCTTCAACATTGTCCATCATCATCAACAACAACAATTAAAAAAAATTCCAACAGCAGCAGCCAAGATCCACCACTGAAAAGATCACCACATCAATCCACAGGTCCATACTGATTTGCTACATCCAACACCCCCACAGCACCTCCACAACAGATCGTCCATACCAGCAGCAGAAGATCAGTGGATGTCAACAACCTTAACCCACACTAGCATAGCATCCGTCATGGCCAGCCATCTACCGCTTCTGACCTAACCGCGAGTAGATCGACACCGTAGGAGACACCATAAGATGTTCGTCTCCAGCAACATATAGAACGGTAACACATACCAGCAATAACCACCACCTTTACTGCCCGCAATATTTCTTCGTCTTCAGCAACCACGCTTCCTTCCATAGTCGCTGCTTGCAACAACTACAAAGAAACCATAATGATCATCTACCACAGAAGACTTCAGCTACAGGAACCCAGCAACCACAGAAGACTCTTGAAGCAAAATTAATTAACCCTGCCATGTCATTTACCATTTCAGCACACTATTGCCACTTCAGCCATCATTAGCCACGTCATCCAGTGAAGCCATGTCAACACCACATCATCCAACACATTGTAGTCTTTGCCACCTCAGCAACTATGTCGCTAGTTTCCTACCACTTTAGTTGCCACACCGTCAACGTTTGCCACGCAAGCAAGCAAGTCATCGAGTCTGCCACGTCAACATCTTTTCCACGTCGGCGACACCAAATTCCAACTTCCTCCCAGCAATATAGCTAGTGAATCACTCTTCCTTTTGATTTATTGAATTTTACTTTTTTGTAGTTTTACACTTATTATTTAAAGTTAATATTAATATTATTTTTATGTCTTAAAAAAATTTAAAAAATATTTTACTTTATATTTTTTTATTAATTTTTGTTGGTTAACCTCTTTAGTAATTGGTATCTGATATCTTGTTCTATTTGATAATTGTGAGTTGTTGTTTCTAACATTGTGTTTGATTAATCATTTACGCTTAAAAGTCTAGCATTGCATATTTAAAATTTTATTAGTATATTTTATTCTTGATTAATCTCCACATTAAAAAAATAATTTTATTTTTGTATTGTAATTTCTCTTACAAGAATCATTTGTGATCTCAATTCTATTTATATGTTAGTGGTACATGTATCTATGCCATGATCATCTATTGTCCAAACTTAAAATATACACTTACCATAAACCCAATTCTTAATGATACTTTTATGACCATTTAAAGGAAACTACAAACTTAAATGATATACATGTTTAAAAGAATTGAGCCTAAGAGATTTTTCGAATAAAGCACCTAAATACCAATAAATATCACAAAAAAACCATTACGGACAAGTTTGCTTTGAGGGCCACTTTATTATTTAGGTTACTTTAAACATGACGACCTTAATAAGCGAGTCTTAAGTCATAACAAAATAGAAATCTTTATTTTTTACGGTTATCATGACCCTTGAATCTTTAATATGTGAATTCATGACATGGATCATTTTTTTAAGTAACACAACTTATATGATAATAGAAAAGTTAAATTTACTAAGATGATACTCGTTCGTGAAACCAAACTTTATTGGAGAGATGTTGAGAATTATTTAGAGGCAAGAGATAAACCTCTTATAACTGATTGGACCAAGATAAAATAAAAACTATAGGAAATGTATCTACCCCAGTCTTATAGGAATAAACTCTTAGACCAATGAAACAAGTCTATCAATGAGCATATAACACATTTTAATGATCAGATAATGAGATATGCTATAAGGAAAAATAAAGTCATGACTTTGCATAGATTTTATAAAGGTCTGAATGTGATTTTAGAAAAGAAATTAGGCTTATAGGTGTTTTCACTCTTGACCAAGTCTATACTATAGTGCAAAATTATGAGTTTATAAAGAGTCGATTGACAAAATATCAAAACTCTCCTATGATCCCTTTTAGATCTCAATTTAAAAATAATGATTCTTTATTAGGTGTTCTACTCTATAGACCTAATCTTAATAGTGCTAAGATTTATAAAAAAGATAAGGACAAATAAGTTGTTAATGAAATGTGTAGGTTGAGTTCAGAGGTCTAGTGTGTTAAATGTCATTGTTTCGGTTATATGTTCTTTAATTACACCTCTACACCTGTAATCATTCAAAAATATAAGGAAACATGTGATAAAGAAAACTATTTTGTGCAAGTGTATGAACCCAATCCTGAGGACTTTAGTGATCTAGATGAAGAGAATGCGTAAGAAGATGAACTTAACATTGTAAGTCCACATGAGCTTGAAAATAAAAAAAGAAATTTTAGAAAACTCTTAGTGGAATTACTCGAAGAGGTAAATATAATCTTAAAAGACTCTTGTAACATTAGTTCTCCTAGACTATCTGATTCCCCACCTATAATGCTTGACATCTAGCACATCAAAGGTTTAGAACAATATACTCATCACCCCCTCATGCTTGATGTCCAACATGTCATAGGTTTAGAACAATGTGTTAAGCTTCATGATCCTTTACTCTTAACATGTAGTGAGAAAGATGAAGATAATCTTGATTTACTAGGTAATGTCCAAACTATATCTACTAAGGCTTCCAATAATGTTGATCCCACTCCATATCCTTAATCATATAGTATTCATAGTTACGAATCTGGAAGGCATGTAGATTATTTTTTTATGTCTCCCCACCCTAAAATATCTTATCCAGTTGAATCTTTTACATGTAGAATTTATTATTTACATGTGAAGATCATAAAATAAATTCAAACAAGTGATGAACAATACAAATTTTGAGTTGATTTACATAAGTATTATGATGTACTTAATGGTGAAGATTCTTTTATAATACAAATTAAACCTTAACGATGTCATTTGAAAATCAATCATAAATTGCAAGTTAATATTGCTAGACCATTCAAAGTGTTGCAAATGATTGAATCAAATAATTATGTCATTAAATTGCCACTAAACTTTGATATTAGATATACTTTTGACATGAAAGACCTCGTTATATATAAAACACAACAATCTATCCCTGATGCTCTTTTTGAAACTCTTACCTCATTATCCTTATTTTTGGCACAAAAGAAATATATTAATGTTATTTTGAATACACAAGTTGTTTTTATCAGGAATGATGAACTTTAACAAATCCTAGTATATAGATTAGACGACCACATTCAGACTATACTTGAATTATTAAAGAGACATCACAATAACTTGATCTTTATTTTTTTAGAATATTATTAGAGTCGTCATGACCTATACTCAACGGGGTTAAGTTCTTCCATCGCGAGGAGAATTGGTGGGATCACCGAACCTAAAATATTGTTTACACACTTGTATAATCATAGACGATGGAGGATAGTTCAAACCATTAAAAGATTGGGCTTTAGCTTATGTTTTAGTTTAATATATATTAACTTTAAGTTAAGATTTATTAACTAGGCTTTATTTGTTAGATTTGATTTAATTATTACTGAGTATTTTATTAGTTAGATCATAAAACCAATCGCTTGTTCTAATTAGAATTTTAATATTTATATTTTATTTTTCTAAATGTTATAAAGTTTTGATAATAAATTAAAATTATTGCAGGGTTGCATATTTTCAATCCTTATTCTTCCCTTTTAATTCTTAGCTTCTTTCTCTTAAAACTTATTTTTTTTTTGTTTTAATTCCTTTTATTCATTGCTCCAACTCAATAATATAAAGAAACTTTTGTATGACAAATATTTTAATGAAAGTGGGAGATCCATTTCATTTTTTAAAACCTTGATTAGGCAGGATTTGTGATCTTCTAAACTTTAATGGGATATATATTGTGAACATGTCCATCAATCTCATGAACAAGAAATTAATTAAAACTTTACTGGAAATAATTTGTTAATAAAAAAAAAATACTTTACATGTAACATTAACATGGGTAACTGAGAAGTTAGTCTCATAGTAACATTTAATCTGCAGAATCTACAGAAGAAGTCCAAGGAATTGTATTGTATACGAGGCGCAGTGCCACGTTTGTGGCTATCCTCAAAGAATGGAGAGAGAAAGGTAAGTGATGATGATGCTTCGAGACAAGAAGATTTTGTTGATACTGTGATCAGCAATGATTCTACTGATGAGAACACAACTCTCCTCCTCCAGGTTTGATCTCCTCCCCCTCTCTTTCCATTGATCAGACACACAAGTTCAACATCATATGTTCCGTCCTTTATTTGCTGGAGCTTTTGCTTGCTGGTACTGACACTAGCAAGTCAGCAATTGAGTGGAGTTGATGATAAAAGTTCATACATTACATTAAAAAACTGTCAAGGAGTAGATGAACACTTCACCCGCCTCCGACTCCAGTTAAACTAGATCAGATTTTACTCACCTCTGATTTTACCAAAACCAATCCAAATTAAAATTCGATCTCTAATCGAAACAGATGACATCGAATTACCTGATGAATTGAGTTAAATCTCCATCCCTACTATTAACACATGTAAGCTACATTACCGGCACATTGATTTAGGGCAGGAGACGAAAGCCCAAGTAGTGTAATACAAAAATCAGCCACAAAAACCAAACCCAAGTTCCATTTGCCCATAATTGGTAGCAGAGGAAGAACAAACTTTTATACTCAAACCCATAGTAAGTTCATAACAAAGATGAATGTGTTTTGGAATCACAACTCAGAAACAAGGGAAAGA